TAACCAATATCCCATTTTGACCAATCTCCACTCTTTGACATTGTAGACATGGTAATTTGGGTTTGGTGGCGACAACCATGGATTTGGTCTTAGCAACATTTAAGGCTATCGGGAGTTTTTTTTATTTTTTTGTCCATTTATCAAACAACTTTCCAGATGGTGGTTTAGGTGTTCCAGGGATCTGCCGGCCGCTAAAATTGCTGAGTCATCTGGGAAAAATCTTTAATTTCTGTGTACCATCCATTTCCAAATAAAATTTGGTCATAGAAATAATGAAAAGGGAGGCCAAAGATGCTCCCCTATGGGACGGCACGTTAAATATTGAGAACTTCGAGGTTGCCCCGTTGACAGATATGACTTGTTTCCTCGTGCTTAAATACGCATGCTTAAATAATTACATATGCCTGATTAGCCTGGTCAATCCTTATCACCTGAAGACGACTCGCAGTATACAGTCAAAACGTCGTGATCCACGTTCGTGAAAGTGATCATGACTACATCGCGAGCCAAACGATTAAAGTTCATTTTTGAATTGCAACCACCACGATGACACACAACAACCTACTTTATGATAATTGTTTTACCAATTACAAACTAATGATATTCGTCTTTTCATAAGGTCCATCAACTTGAAGATGATAAAGGTGAAGAAGGCATTATTTTGAGTCCCGTTGTACATTTAAAAAGCTCACAAGAAGTAAAGCGCGCCACAGTAACGATACCTATTGCTTTGTGCAAAGACCAGAGAAATGTGGAGGATATGCTGCGCAGCGCTTCGCTTGAAGTATATGGCTATGACAAGTCACAGAAATACTGGGACGATATTACAAGCAAACTACGCTCAGAACTAAAGTGGGTGAAGAACGTTTGTTCTTTCAAAGTTCACCTCAAGAAGGACATGTATGTTGACAAACTCAGTTTTTGGAGATTGATGACTAATTATCTTGGGAACCTGCTTTCATTAGAATTACCTTGTATGATATATCTAACCTTTGAGGTGATGCCATCTGAAAGAGTCACCATAGTGTTAAATGAGCTTTGTATAAACACTGGTTTATTAATCAGTTTATAACGGAACTGATTTATTTGCTTGCAGGAGGCTTCATCTGCGGATGAAATTGTCCGAACAACCTACTGGTCCCAATCTAAATAGTCCAGCATGCTTTGATGTTCATCCTGTAGAATTCCACGCTCGCTTGTATAAGCTAGGAAACGACAAAAAATTGGTTCTATGTTGTTTCCCAAGTTATGTTAACATGGAGAGTGCAATGAGTCTTTTAAACTCTCCATACCCTGAGGTGGAGATGGAAAAGATTTTTGAAGGTGAAGCGATGTCAAATGTATCTCTCAGCAACGATGTTGATCTCGATGTCACCTTTTCTCTTTCACATCAACTCAAGTATAAACAAGGAGAGGAAAAACTTGAGTAAGTCACGATTTTTTCAACCTCTTCGCGGAGACAAAATAAGATGATAACTGTTAATTGAAAATCTGCCGACAACTTGGTATGATTGTCAAACGTGTATACTATGCTTGAAGAGGCATAGTTATAAAAGTCGGGAAGCATAAATAATCCTAGCTTTCTCTGTACATGATTCGGAGAAAAAGTGAAAAAGTGTTTGACAAATGTCCAGGATTCCCACGTACGAATTACTTGAGTAAGTACATTCCTAATGTTCTTTTCCTACTGTGACTTTGTCCATGTTTTCTTAATCAATTTTCGTAAGAATTAAAAGGCATGGTCCGACGCAGATAGTGCTTGATGTAGAGTTTGAAGAAGATCAGAGTCAGTTACAGAATCTTCAAGTGACATTCTTGAAAAGCGAAAGAGAATTGTGCAAATGTTCACTTTCGAGGTGTGAGCCACCACAGCATCAGGTACCTGGCTTTAAAGTGCTACTTGATTAGTGAATTTATTCTTCCTTTCCTTTATTTTATTTTATTCAGTAACAGATTGCACAAAACTGTGGTTCACAGCAACTATAATTTTAAGATTGTCTTCACGTTAATTACATGAAAATGCATGTGAAATTTTAGTTGCTTTGTGGAGTAATCACGTAGCAAATTAAGGAAAATCTGAAGAAATCCCCCATCATAACTTTCGACACTCAAATAAAAACTGTTTTGAAACATTAGCTTTGCTTTTCCTTCCATCAGAAACGGATGCCTTCAACTTCACATGGCGGAAATGCTAGCAACCGCGGTGAGTGTATCTTATATGATCATTGGAAGGTTAAAACTAAAGATAAAAAAGATGACGCATCAAAGTCTCCTTGTGTTTTTTGTTATTTTCGTTACTGTTGTTGTTGTTGTAGTTGTTTTAAGTGGAGAAAGATAAAAAAAAAACAAAAACAGTTTTTCCGCAGTGCATTACCCTGAGACGGAGAAAATGAACGGAAAAAGTCATTTCGGCTTCGCTCAACATCATCATCACGAAAAGATGAACAAAAAAATTTGAAGTGAACATGAATATATAAGCTCTAACAGAATATGAAAGCTTCAGCAGTTTTGAAAATAATAATTACTTATTCAAAACTACTCCTATCGCTCTCATCATTACTTGAATAGTAACCCTGACCCGCAACCTCCTGTAATCCTTAATCCAAAATCATTACTTTCACAAATGTTAAGAGCTTCGGCGTGTCATTCCTCTCAACTGTAAGCAGTGTCCGATGCAATAATTTCAAAAGCTGTCTCTCTCAGTCTGCTTATCTCAGCGTTACTTTTCTTCATGTACCTTCGCTAGCAATCCTATTTTTCATGCATTCTCTGCAAAAAGGTAGACAAAAATGCACATCTCCCCATTTTTTCTCGACGAAACTAGAGAATCATAACACAATACAATGTATTCAGATAAACCTTTTGGGGGATTCATTCAGATTTTGGTTTAGGATAGAAATGCCCTTCACAAACGTTCCCGAACATCGTAATAACTATTTAAAAAGTGCGATCGATCTCAACACTGTTAAATTTACTATTGTGTCAAACATAAAAATGAAATCAGAAAGAGAGAATGTTTCCAGTAAAGGGGACTCACAAAAGAATAAGAAAACTTAATTACAAGATAAAACTATACAAATATTTACAAAATAATCTAATGAAGCCTTACACTGCTGTAAAATGTTTTAAAAATCCGAGCTTTCGCCGATCAACGGCATCATCAGGGATAAGAAAAATATCCCGGGAGCGCTATATATATATATATATATATATATATATATTAAGTTTTGAAAAGGGTTTATTCATAACAAACCACCTAAGTTACAAAATAAAGGTGCTAACG